TAAGCCTCGCTACGTGACCTGCTCATTTCCACTTAAATTTTAGTCTATAGTTCATGGCATTCGCTTTTGTCATATTTCTTATTCGTGTATGTCTTAAATTTTTACCTTAATCATTTTATGTGTCCTTACCTATCTACAAGTATGTTAGTGATCATATATCTTAGCACTGATTTTGATGGAAGTTGGATGAAGGTATATGTGGGTTACGAAGGCAGCCTCGCACAAACATCGTAATGACCTGGTTGGTCACACTTATGCTTATATTAAAAAAAATCACTAATTAAATAAGATCACGTCTTTTGTTTCATATGTTTAGAATCAATGCAATTTTCAACACGGTACTGTTATAATATGTACCTACCATTTAAAATTAATTACGCAGAATATTGGAACGAATTTTAATGTAAAACTCTCTTGCTTAAATTTTCACTTGGAATCAATCAAACTGAAAGATTAATTATGGCTGAAGAATGATTACCTAACTTTAACGGACTTTTCTATTTAATATTGCAGAAAAAGTTTCAAATAAAAAGTGTTTGTCACTGCGGTTTTAAAATAAAACGTTCAACAATCCATTAGACTTTTTTTATAGAATAGGGGTTACCAACAGGCACACAGTCCAACTGATGGTAAGTGGATGCTGTGGCCCGTAGATATCTACATTTATCCTCGATTAAGAATCAAAATACATATGCGTTGTCAACCCTGAGAACTAAGATGGAATGCCTCGCTTCCAGTAAAAATAGTCCTCGGTACTATACACTCATTATACGAAATACAGCAGCATTAAGCTGCTACTTTACGCTGGTATTCCGTGATTGTAAGTTGCTACTGTAGCCCATGGACATCTCTAATGAACTGCAGACAAAGAGGGCTTAGTCACTTCTAAGGAATAAGCTGGACTGTCCAACTGCTTGTATCTATACAGGCTCTGCCAGTGTTGTCATCTGCGAGGGACTAATATTGTTTATCCCTGCAGGTTTCGGGCCTCGGCGTGTCCCCCATTACCCGGGTAATCCTCACAGCCCATTTCTAGGGACCGTTCTTGGGAGCCGTACAAGGACGGCATTGTAGGTACTCTTCGTGGCGTATTGCGCGCCACCAGGTAGGTGCTTCCGGAGGGTCAGCAGTCTCGAAACCCCGCGGAGTCCCGCGGACAGGGAGTCGACGCAGGGCCAATCCTGCCGACAGATGTGCGATCCTAACAGCAGCACTCCGGGCCTACAGTGCTCCTCCCTGGCTCTAGGTTAAGGCCTGTTGAATTCCTAGGCAGAAATTGGCATATCTCGCGCCTCTAGAAAGGGGTCTGCCGAAGGGTCAGCATTCTCCAGGTCTCGCGGAGACGCATTTCGACGCGGAGCCGAAGTCACCAACAGGCACGCGCTCTCCTATTAGCACGCCGGGCCTTCGGAGTTCGCTTCACAGCATGGTAGGTTAAACGCAGCGTTGGCTACGTAACGTCCCGGGTGGGCGTCAGGGGCGTCCTCGAGGCTCAACGCAAGGCGAGTTGGCCCCACAGCACGTGCACCTACCGCGAAGCGACGCGCTGTACTTTTCCCACCCGGGCGGGAGCTGACGACCGACGGACGTGACCAGCTGCTAACGTGGTCCGGACGCAACTCCTATCATCTACAGGCTTTGCATACACTTTAGAGGCCCAAAGTCTGCTACACATGGCTGACTTTAGGGGTAAGCTCTCGCAGAGTCACAGTAGAGTCATAGCAGAGTTGAAACACTTGTCGTAATATCGACGGTGGTGTGCCTTTCCTAGTGTAGTGGTGTTGGGAATAGTGGTATTCTGACTAGTGGTAACGGGAATAAGAAGAGTGGCAGGTGGTCTTCAAATTAGATAAGACATATCATTGCTAATTAATTTTTAACATCTTTAACATCGGAATGTTCTAGTAAAGGTTTTTAATATGAAAGTCAATTTTTAACGTTGTTTTTAAAGGGATGTCTGTATGTGCGAGTGTAAGTTCGAACTTCAGTGTAATTGTCTAATATTAATTTGGCCTTGATCTTAATGTCATCTGTGATAGTAAAACTGTCGTAACGCGTATCTGTTCGTCTCAACAATAGGTCAATATCGTATGCACATGCAACAATGTGACTTTAGATTGATAGGGAAGTGACCCGATTCCTTAGACACCTTAAGTCCAGTAGGGTGATAATGATTTCTTTAGCCAGTTAACCAGTTTTGACCAGCGTAAGACTCAGGTTTAAGCGTTTTTGATTGTTTATTTAGAGGTAATAACAAGACCTTAAAATTATACCTCATTGGTATAATTTTAAGGTCTTTTTATTACCTATAAGTAAGCAATCAAATACGTTTCTTACAGAGTTAGATGAAAGAGATAGATAATATCTTCATAGGATAAAGGTTACAAACGGTCTACAGGTTTCTAAATGATCTGTCGCATTAACCACGGGGTGTGCTCAGGAATTGTTTGGATTAATCTCAGCTGCCAAATTTCATGAGCACACTACGCCGCAAACCTCCCGATACCACCCACTCTATCTAGATGCTTGGCGCTCCCACCACTGTAAGTTTCACTAGGAGTTTTCTTTCGCGTTCAACCTCTCTGTGGAATAGTTTACCACCGGCGATTTTTCCGGATCGATACGACATAGTGACCTTCAAGAAAAGAGCTTATTCGTTTCTAATAGGGCGATAATGCACCAGCAATCCCCCTGGTGTTGCAGTTTTTATGGGCAACGGTAGTCACTTACCATCAAGTGAGCCGTATGCTCGTTTGCCCCCACTTCTATAAAAAATAAATATAAAAAAAAACATAGTAATGGCAAGTGTTTGCTATGACGCATAGATATCTACATCTATCCTGGATTAAGAATCAGAATGCAAAATTCGTTCTCAATCCTGAGAACTACAAACGAACACCTCGTTTACAGTCTCCGGTTTTCTACACTCACCATACGAAAACAGCATTAAGCTGCCGTTTCATGCTGGCATTCTGTGAAAGCTCGGTCCTTCCCCTGTTACCCTTTCGTGCTACAACCATAATATAGCTGCAGCGTGGTTCTACCACGTATAGATAAAATAAGGGAACGCTATTTCAAAATTTTAATAAATTCTATTACAATACTATATGGAAGAACGGGATCTATAAAAATATCCCGACCGTAAAATTATCAGAGCTTCTTACCGATGCTTCTAGAACCCGCAATAACGGAGATTGCAACGTTCATATGAGCAATAAATAAAACGAAATAAAAATAATCTCATTTATGTGGCAACTCTTATTATTCGTTATAGTAAAACTAGTTTTAATTGGCAAATGTCGACTATCTTTTATTAAATAATGAAGTGGGTAATGTACGAGGCGCTTATCGGTTAAATATAAATAAATACAAAGAGCTGGGTCCTGTTGTTCCTAATGGAGTTTCCGAGTCTGCTTAGTCGCCTCTAGCAATTCTGTAACTTACACCGTGGCCAGGAAAATAGCGAATAGTCCGTTTGTACAAAGCACATCAGTCTATATCATGTGTTATTATTGTGTTATTGTATACCATGGGTACATGCTATTTTATTAAGTTTGTATTATATGTTATTATTTTGAATATGCATATATGTACATATATATTTATAATTAATTGTACATAAATTTTCGCTTTGATCGCATCAATTGAAACTTGATCATGGCGACTGTGCTAACGTTAATATTATATCTGTCGATTAGAGATTGAATTACATTGAGAGATTTTACGATTAGGAAATTTAGAAAGCCTCATTTAATTTTTTTGAATATTAAGACTTGCTTTAAGCTAGTAGAGTAGCTGTTTGTTGACGGTACCGTATGGAGCGGGTTCTATTCCCGCTCGAAACAAGTATATTATGAACTACAAATAATTGCCCCACGTTGGCTTCCAGGTTGTTTATAAATTGTACAATTTATGTAAGTACGATTTATTACGTAAAAGGACTTCAGGATACATAAAATTCTAAGGCGGGGAGATACATTATATTAAAAATGTTTATAATTAAACAAGATACATTTATTTAAAAATATATTAGTACCTGGATGACGAAGTTTTACTCGGCGTTAAAAAAAACCAATATAATTCCTTTAAAAATTACAAGTATCAAAAAGTAGGAGGAAGAGACAATCATAATCATAGAAAAATATGTATTATTGTGATAAAAACTATTTTCTTTCCAATATGTTATAAAATTAATTAAATATCTTTAAATAATTTCTATAGTAATTAAATGCCATTAATGAAAGTTTATCCACAGTGTAGGAATATCTATTATGCCACTTCGAACCGTAGGTAATTTAAAAAACGACGGAAACAAACTAGCATATGAGCAGCAGCATCTTTTTATTAAAACGACACATCGCAAAGGCTATCGTCGTACTGATCCGAGTGAATAACCAATTTCTATAAAAACTTGAAAAAAAACGCCGTCATAAGGTCTAAGATTGCGTAGCGCCCGCGACGATTAAAAGCGCTTCGAAATTGTCAGAATCTTAATTTTTTTTAAATTATTGATTTAAATAATCAAAATAATGGACAAGTAAATTATGAATATTGATGTTATGAATATATTTGAGTGATTCCCAAACATATAGATTAAGTAATATCGTTGTAATTTCAACTATAGTGATTTTTAGAGGTGTTTTCGATATGCAAATAATTATGATCGAGTCAAAATTATATTTGTGTATATTTGTGTTTTTGAACAATCAAATTCAAGATAAAGACATGAATTTACCTATATCAAAATTCCACTTTCGTTAGTTGTGTCATAGTCCTATACTATTCGATGAAAGAAGGTGCACTTTTTCACGGTGTCGTAATAACACTAAAATTAAAAATAACTGCGGTTTCCAACTAGCCAGCCAGAGTGGCAACTATAGAAAATGATATGAAGCAATAAAGAGAGGTCTATGGGGAAGGCCTGTGTTCACGATAACAGTTAAATGCCATCAGTGTACTTAGATTAATATATTACTTGTTTATAATATCTAGCGTATTTAATGGCCACAAACCGAGAGACAATGCATGGTATGTAAAGATATCTTTATCTTTGTCTATATATAGTTTGGAATTTAGCAGCTTAGAAAAGATATCCAACGGCTTTCACGTATTTCCATGCGATTATTTTAATACAATTTATGTTTAACGTTTCGAAATTGATCCTAATCGCTAGTAAAACACAGTTGATATTCTTTTGATGCATAATTCATGCCCGTTTAATTTCTAAATCCTTTACCGGGAATGCAAATGATTATTTAATTTATTTTATGTTTGCGATTTATTAGGGTTATAATTTGAAAGATACGTCCTGAATACCAATATGGAAACCTATAGATATTCAATACGCGTTTCTTTGTAAAAAAAGTGGCAAAAAGTACAAAAAAAGCTGTTTGTTATTTATATACGAGCAAGAAAGTTAACGAATTCCTACGCAATCGATTTTTTTCATATAATTCCGAGTATATAACTTAACTTTTAAATAGCTTGATTGTTCTTTATCTTTAAAGAAAAGTATTTTGGAAATCTATATTTTATGGTTATATAACAAACTACAGTTTTTTAGGATTAAAATCTTACATTTGCAGTTAAAGTATCGACGGGATATGAGAGAACGTTTTTTCCACAGTAAATTGAATTTATATTCAATCAACTCGTTAGAGCAATTTTCGGTTTACGTGACCTAAGTAGGTATTACTTATGAATTTCAGTAAGTTTATTATTTTTATGAAAGTAAGTTCTTTCTTATCCTACTACTAACTGTAGTACTTACCTATCTATACAAATAAATAAAATTAAGTGTTTGTTTGTAATGTCAAAATAACAGCTTTTTATTAAATGCATATGAATGTATATACAGTACTTATAACAAAACCACAATTTTTAAAACTTCTGTTAATTAATTTGTCTGTCTGTCCGTTTGTTTGTTCCGGCTAATCTCCGAAAGTGCTGGACCGGTTTTGACGAGAGATTCATAGGCAGATAACTGATAATAAAGGGAGTAATTTAGGCTGCTTTTGTTTTAGAATAAGAATTATAGTACCGCGTAAAAAGACTCTAAATTACACGCGAGCGATGTCATAGGGAACAGCTAGTTGTATATAAATGAATATTGTCTTTTTTATTTTCAACATTTACTATCATAACGGTAAGCAAAGTGTAGGGCGGCCACCACTAGATGGAGTGAGTGGTAAGAGATGCAGGAAGTCGATGGAATGCATGTGGCTCTGTACCGTGCACAGAGTACCTTTATATTATTTGTTTCAGTATTAAGTATAGCCATAGATAATAATCTATATAGGGTAAGTAGAGCCTATGTCCAGCAGTGGACTTGTGAAGGGCTATAATGATAATGACGGTAATAAAAACGAACAATAAATTTTATCTAACCGTAAATTTTGTGTTATAGTTCATTCCTTTTTACTTTGTTATCGGTACTAAAAAGAGAGCAAAATCGTCGTGGCTTGATTTTCAGTATGGATGAACTATGTATTTACATAAATAATTAAGTTTATTCGTAACTCTCTAGGCGCCGGTCCTACTCGGGCTTGTGTGACTTTTTGAGTTTAGTATCAATAATCAATTTTATTTAAAATTTTATTCAATGATAATATTTAATACGGTCGCTAGACCCGTCCATGCTTCGTTTATACCGTCTATTTTCTAATTTATCGTAGAAATGACTGTAATATAACAGTTTTTGTTCTGAGTTACTTTTTATTGTAATAAATCTATAAATATAAAAACAGTGTTCTGGCTTAAGGGGTTACTTGTATATTATTAAGACATAAAAACATGTTGAAGTAAAACTTCTTTACGCATGCTTGACTTGGGGAGACTGGTGAACGCGTGACGAAAGCGTTACTAAAAGTGTGATCAAGCGAGACGAACGGGAGTTGAGTGGGGGATATAAGCAAGAGAGAGCAGTGAGCGCGCACATTTTCTTCCTCTCTTTCTCTCGTAGCCCGTTATTTTTAGATTTTTTTTTCGTTTTATACAAATTTATGAACTAATATTTTGTTCAATACATTAAACATTCTACGTTTAAAGTGAATAAAATTGTAAATTCGTTTTAAAGTTCATGTTTTGTAAATTTTAATTAAATATTTATAGAAAATTAATATATGTACATGCATCCATTATATGTACATATTTAAACACACACACACACACACACACACCACAATTATATATATATATATATATATATATATATATATATATATATATATATATATATCATAAAGATGGTGCTAAAGAAGTTTTACCTCAGTCGGGTGGTCATGAGCACACTCTTTTTTTATTTGTTTGTGCGTTTGACTGGGATAATCTTCGGAATGGCTGAAATGATTCTGATAAAACGGATAATTGATAAAACAAATGGTCTTTGATTATCTTGAATCCAAATAATGCCACATTAATAGATCCTACTCAAGCGAAGTCAGGGCGAGTCGCTCGTATGAAGGACCTATCAGCACTATTTGTACATGAAGGTAAATCGAAATAAACACATAAAACACATATTAATGATAACTGTTTTTGTTTTACAGCGGCATCACTATGCGAAGGCGCTCGTGACGCAACATGTCCGCGTATTTGCGGGCCAACTCTACAAGGGGACCCGGTCTGCGCAACCGATGGATACATCTATCCTTCACTCTGTGAGATGAGGAAGAAGACTTGTGGGAGAGGTATGGTTATTTATTTATTTATTTTTAACTAAAACTAAATAAATGCGTCAATATTCTAACTTAAAACACATTTAATAATTAATATACCATTAGTGTCGTAAAAGGCGACAGCAGAAAACTGGAATGGGTATGGACAGCAGCGCAATTGCTGGTACCAACTATCCTATAATGATGAGGAAATTACTGTGGAGAATTATGTTAGCGGTGAACTTTGGTAGACTGTGATGATTATAACGATGAATAATTAATAAAATCAGAGACATCAGATAAAGGAAATTCGTAAATTATGTGAAAATTAATTTGCTAAGAAACGCGTGCAAAGACAAGTGATGTATGTTTACATTTTTTTTGAAAAACCAATCCCATTCTGCTGTTATTAAACTTCATCAACTTATCATCAGGTGAATAGTGTACACCCTCGTCACCCATATTGTATAGAAAAACAGCAGCGTCTTTGAATTAAACTGCCAGAAAATTAATTACATCAAATATTAAAAGGGTTTTGCTTTTGATTTTTATAAGGCGCTTCTTTGCTAATAACACTGAACACAAGAAATTTGCGTTCACTGGCTGCTACTATGTGATGTTTTGCGTGACTTAATTGTAGCATAACATACATTACATTACAAAACGTAAAACATAACATACGTATATAGGTACATACAAAACATAAGATTTCTCACAATCACTTGGCCACCAGAGATCTGTTTCAATCAATAGAGTATTCTGTAAGTTAGGTAAAAATTAGAAATGACAAAATATTAAGTTATAGAATATTCTGATTCTAATAATGCAATATATTAATGCAATATGCCGCAATAAATCTTTCTTTCTTCTTTCTTCCTTTCTAATAAATATTTATAATTTTGACAAAATTATAATTCTCTTCCAGGAGTAAAACTAGCCCAGGATCAAGGTTCTTGCTCCCGAGCTCAAGGATCTAAATGTGAACACCGGTGTACATCTGAACGTGACCCTGTATGCGGCACTAATGGACGGACTTACCTCAACAGATGTATGTTGCAAGTAGAAATATGCAGGTACGTAAAAAGTTCTTTTAAAATAATCTTTTAGATCCAATCCACAACCCCATTTCGTTCGGTAGCTTCTTAGGCTACAGTGGAGTACTTCTATCTCTACTGTAGCTTCATAAGCCACAGCACGATAGATGACTGGAAGGTCACCTTAGGCAAGCTAATTTAAATACTTCTACTCTGTAAGGATTTAAAATAGAGAATTCAGTTTCATAACATCAATTATTAAGTGGTTGTTTGTTTATTCAAGCGTTTTAGTGTCTACAAATAGCCTTTTTTAATTTGAGGTAATTAAAACTAATTGAGGTGGAAGACTGTCACACTTACCCATCAATGAGGGGTAACCCCCTGTGTGACAGTACGCTTCTTTTTGTAGTTGCTTTTTTATTATCTTATTTTAAAAAAAAAAAAAAAAAAATTTTTTTTTTTGAACAGAAAAAGGTTTTTGATCTGTAGTTTTCGACGAAATCGATGCGATGATACTGAAGTCGATATATTTTAATATCTATGAAAACGATTTGGACGTCCGTTTTTGTGTAACAATGAATTTTTCCAAACATGGGACAAGTGTGACTGTTTTTAACTGCTACAGTTATGTGCACTTAAATAGATTTAGTATATAAACTCTGAATGTTTTGTAAGTAGGTATATTGCATTATAAAAGCCAAGTGCAATTTAAAATTTAATTGAGTAACATTAAAATTTTATAATAATATAATCATAATGCTTTGGTACATGCATTATGTATGCTATTTTAGAAGAATAAAAACTTAAATGTATAGTACAGTAAAATTTAAAACACAGTTAAATTTAAAAGGAAAAAACGTCATCAGTGTTGTTAAGTTAAAAAAAAACATTAGGGTTTTCTTGTATTTTGTTCTATATAATGCTTATAATAATTTTTACCGATCATTATTCCCAATATTATGTATTCCTAACATAATACTGCCATTTTTTCATCTCGTAATATCGCACTAAAACAGTATTATTTTCTTCTAAAATCAAAGTATCTTCTTCTGTATCTGTTTCCATAACATTTATTATTTCTGCTTCTGACATCCTCTGACATTTCTGTTTGATATTTATTTATTCCTTGGTATTAATTAACAAACGAATATACTTACATTTCATTGCATTGCTTGAATATACTTAATCCCAGCCGCTAAATTTCGTGAACGCACTACGCGGCAAACGTCCCGATACCATCCACACCATCTGGATGCTTGGCGGTCCACCACAGTACGTTTCAAAAGGAGTTTTCTTCCGCCTACAACCTCTCTGTGGAATAGTTTACCACCGGCGATTTTTCCGGACGAATACGACCTGGAGACCTTCAAGAAAAGAGCTTACTCCTTTCTAAAAGGCCAGCAACGCACTTGCAATTCCCCTGGAGTTGCGGTTGATCATGGGCGGCGGTAGTCACTTAACATCAGGTGAGCCCCATGCTCGTTTGCCCCCTCTTCTAAAAAAAATACTTAAGTATAAATACATACGAACACACCGGTAAATAACATCCTCCTTTTTGAAAGTCGGTTAAAATTCTGTTTACTTTCTCCAAATGATCGGGGTAAGCGTGACACTGTCAGACTTACCCCGATGTTAGGTATTAGGTGACGTAAGTGTAATTGTGTCCGTATTTCAAGAAATAGTGGATTTCAGGTCACAGGAATATATTACTCTTTAAGTACCAATATTATTTTTTTTCACTCACCTTGTATCGGGTTTAAAATAACTTAATGATATATTTAAACACTTATTAACTTCACCTCTTAACACGTGCCCTGCGGCACTGATTTATCTGTACTTTCCATTACTGCGTTACGAGACGTTTGAAACCTTGTTCTGAACCAGAGGTTGTAGCGGCACGAGGCTTAATAAACCCCACCGTCCACATGAGACAAAAATCCTTTTTTTGGCACCAAAAAATGCGAATTGTGTGGTTTTTGTCGCGATTATCATTACGAATGAGTTGATTAACCTAAATCTGCCGCCGCCTGTGGGCGGATTATTTAGTTTAGATTCTGTAGGTAAAATAAAATGTGGGGTCTTATGTACCCCATACCGCACTGAAAAAGGGCATTTTTTCATATTGCTTAGTGATGGGAAAAAATATCGATTTTATTTAATTGTACTTATGGATGCTTTTTATTAAAACAGGGCAAACAATAATATTTTTGCAACCGATACATTCTGTGAGAATTTTCTTTGCAATTTTGTCAGCCTCACGACTTGATAAGAAGGTGCGAAGTTTTTCGTAGCATCCTACACATCTCATTTTCTTTGATCCTTTTTCGAGATGATGTGGATTGTTTGGAGCGGGTTCTGAAAAAAAAAACTGATAGTGTATTTTTGAAGCGGGTTGATTAGGTGTAGCGATTTATTGGAGCATTTCTATACATAAGTATGGGATCGTTACGGCCTGTGTGTGTTTTGCTTTTGTCAGTTGAATTTATTTGTTATATTCCTACATAATTATTTCACTTAGACTGAGTATAATTTGTAAATATTGATTGGAAACTTACCTGTTTTTCAAATATCGTTAATTTAGAATTACCACCCAATTCCTCTTCATCATCAATAATATTATTAGTTAACTTTCCGACATCTATTATATCGTCGCGGGTGCAGCGTTCAACGTTTTGCACAACACTAACCGCGTAAAGCTAGCGTAGGGTACGGTACGAGGTGTGCGGGGTACGAGGTGTTCGCAATCTCGTAACGCACTGTTTTAAACTTTAATTTATTCAGTGCGGTACGAGGCCTAAAAAATCCGGTATTAAGGTAGATATACCAAAAAACTCTGAATCAATAGCACATCTCAGATATATAGTTATCTCTTTCCTAGACTGAAGCAAACGGAAGTTACGCCTCTCGCACGACAGAGAAATTTAAGTTTTTCTTTACCGCTATAACGACGAGACACGGACGAGGTGTTTCAAGCCTCGTTTCGCAGTCAACGTGTTAAAACTGCGCTGTCTGTCGCCATTTTACTCAAATGGTTTAGAAAAAAAGGTAGTTTAAAAAAAGTCTGTTGATAAAATAATTGAAGCTATGTACTTAACTGTCAGTAGTCAATGGCGTAAAATTTTCTGCAACGTTTAAAAGATGGAATTTAACCAAAAACCGTGTTTAGGCCGCATAATTTGCATTTGTTACACTTGCCCCACTGTCACACTTGCCTCAGATGACCATATAGCAATCTCGTTTACGCCAGGCTTATAATACCCAGGCTGGTGACGTAAAGCAGCGTTAAAAATGCGGGACATCTGTTACTATCTCCAATTATTATGCAGCAAATATCTCTTGCAACTGGAATGGTTGACTACCACTGGCTTGACCCTATGGGTGGACAAGCTAGTGGTAGTCAACCATTACGGAATGTTAAAGAATTTTATAATGCCATTATTGGATAACAATGTTTCAACTATTGTTTAAGACAATATTGTGTGTTCAATATAAATGGAAGATTAATGACATACTCCTTGGTTTATTTTAACATCAAGTTCAACAAGGAACTTGATGTTAAAATAAACCGGCTCGAAGGACCTATGATGTTCAAAACAAATGCATGTGTTTTTTTGACGTAAAAATTTCATTTTAAAATTAATTATCATTAATTATAGTCCATGATAATTAATGTTTTATATTCAACATTTTCATAACCATACAGCCGTGGTAGCTCAGATGGTTAGCGCTCGCTCTCAATTCCACAGTACGCTAGCAAACCGGGTTCGATCCCCGCCGGCATCAATGAAATTGTTAATTGCAATTTTAAGTGCTGATTTACCATGTGCTCGGCGTGAAGGAAAACATCGTGAGGAAACCTGCATGTCAGAGAAATAAGAAAAAATATTTCAAACACATATAAAGTTCGCCAATACGCATTGGGGCAGCGCGGCGGACACTTCCTTGCGCTAAAACCCTCTTAGAAATGAGCGGAGGCCTATGCTCAGCAGTGGGACGTATATAGGCTGTAACTTAACTTTACTTTCTTTTATTTAACATTTTCATAAACATAATAATTTAATTGTTTTTGATGGTATGTACGAGTAATGAATGGATTCAAAAGATTGAACCTAGATATATGTATTATCAAATTAAAAATTTTTTCACCAGAGTTGGCATCGGTCTGTCTCACCTCGGAGCTTGTAACAACATCAGCGCCCACCGCGAGAACTGCCCCGTTGACTGCTCGCAGGCGCCCTTAGACGGCCCGGTCTGCGGCTCGGATGGAAATGTGTATAAAAGCACGTGCCAAATGAAGCTATTTACGTGCGGGTATGATTGGATCATTACTACAATATACGATTAGTTTAAGAATTCTTTTCGAAGAAGAATTTTACACGTGGTAGAGCCATGCTGCAACTATATTAATTGTATAGTTGTAACACGAATGGGTCGGCTCGACCGAGGAAGGACCACGCTCGCACAGAATACCAGCGTCAAATAGCAGCTTAATGCTGCTGTGTATCGTATGGTGAGTGTAAAAAACCGGAGACCCTTTTTACTGGAAAAGAGGCATTTCCTCTTAGTCCTCAAGCCTGACGACGCATCTGCATTTTGATTCGCAAACGCGGATAGATGTAGATGTCTATGGGTCACAGCAACCACTTACCATCAGGTGGACTGTGTGCTCGCTTGTCACCCTTTTCCTATTAAAAAAATCTGGAAGCTCGGCTATAGAGTAAATATCCATATCATTTATTAAATATAAGTTAGAAAATATGGGTTAATCACTTTTTACTTTCTTGGCTTAATGGTTGATCCCTCAGAATGGGTAAAATTTTGGCTGGTGTGTATCGCAGCTTATATTTTATTCACTCGTATTTCCTTAACTTAAAATTTTCTAGTTGCCAGATTTTGACAAAATGATATATGAAGTCGGCATAAAATATATTACACAAGAACTATCGACTTAATAAAATGTATGTTAAAAACTATTCTATAATTATAATAAATGTTATGAAATAAGTTTTTCACTAAAGACTCTCAATTAGTTTTGTATATGCAGAAAAATTTATTTTGCTCTATCTATACAACACTTAATAATAAGCCAAAAATATTTTTTGTATTTTTCACTAACCATTACGTCAGCGCACGTGGATAAATCATTCCGGGAGCGCTTTTTCTTCTGATTTGCTTAACAAAAACCAATATACAAGAAAAACTGAGGGGTGTAGTCTAATGCTAGATTGAATCTGGCTTTAATATACAAAATAAATTTTTCAAATCGGACTGGAAGTTTCAGGGATTAGCGTATTTAAACAAACAAAGGAAGAAAAAATCTCTTCCACTTTATTGTATAGATAACGTATTGATACTACAATTTATGAATGGTTGATGGCGGCGTACTAAACCATCACTAGTACTATTATTTATTCTGTGCCATCACCCTGTTTTTTACGATGGATGTCCTAGGAGATAACTATGCGAAATCTCAGAATAATCACATGGCTTCCATTAGCTGGATTATATTATGCCCGTAAAATAATGTACCCAGACCTGTGAAAGTCGTTAATTTTTCTGACAAGCTTGGCTATTATATATAGATATATAAGTATAGATAGCGCTTTTGTATATATGAGGGATTGATAGCAAATTAATCAAGGATTAATTTGTACCGACACACTTTTCATGTATTTAATGAATGGGTCGGCTCGGCCGCGGAAGGACCACGCTCTCACAGAATACCAGCGTAAAATAGTAGCTCTGTGTTTCGTATGGTGAGTGTAGAGAACCGGAGACCCTTTTTACTGGAAACGAGGCATTCCATCTTATTCCTCAAGGGTGACAACACATCTGCATTTTGATCCATAATCGGGGAGTAGATGCCTATGGGCCACAGCAACCACTTACCATCAGGTTGACTGTGTGCTCGTTTGTCACGCTATCCTATAAAAAATAAATCTAATTTCTTGGGAATAATAAAATTATAAACAACTTTTTCAGACAAGGTGTAGTGAAAACGAACAAGAAACATTGCCAAACAACCCGCCACTGCAGAGAATCGTGCTGGAGAGTGGCGAGGCCCACTTGCGGATCTGACGGAAAACTCTACGCTAATGCGTGCAGAATGAAGGCAACCAATTGCGGGTATGTATTTCGAAAATTATCGGACACTAAATCCTTAACAACAACCTTCAAGTCAATGTGAATCTAACAACAAAGATAGTAAATATTATAAAGGAATACGAAAAAAGATTACTTGGAAACAATAAAATGCATTTCCTTGCTTAAAATAATCTTTTGTTTACTGGGCATCAATAAACAGGTTACTAATGCCCAGTAGTTGTTTGAGATTAATATAATATAAATAAAATACATTTTCAGGAGTTCGAAAACGAGAAGGTCTTTTGACGCATATATTTTAAACTAGCTTTTTACCCGCGGCTTCCCTCGCGTAGGCTTCAATTTAGTAATATCGTTAATGCTGTTCCGTACCAAAATTAACAAACTTCGATCGAAAATTCGGGCTTTTCGACGTATCCATTAAAAAGATTAAAATCAAAATTGCATTATTTATTTTTCACTCTTTACATTCATTCATAATTAAACTTAATTTATTTTTAATGAAATAACAAATAACGGTGAATTTCATGGTCGTCAATTATTTTGGGTCATCATCATCATCATTACAGCCCTTCACAAGTCCACTGCTGAACATAGGCCTCCCCCAAGTAATGCCACAAAGCACGGTCCTGAGCCACCTGCATCCATCGACTTCCTGCATGTCTTACCAGGTCGTCACTCCATCTAGTGGGGGGTCGCCCTACACTACGCCTACCGGTACGAGGCTGCCACTCGAGAACCTTTCTTCCCCATCGGTTATCGGTTCTTCGAGCTATATGGCCGGCCCATTGCCACTTCAGCTTACTAATCCGTTGGGCTATGTCGATCACTCTGGTTTTACTGCGGATATCCTCATTTCTGAGTCTATCACGCAGAGAAACTCCAAGCATAGCCCTCTCCATAGCTCGCTGAGCGACCTTAAGCGTCCTCATACGGCCAGCAGTGAAGGACCACGTCTCAGATCCGTAAGTCATCACTGGCAACACGCACTGGTTGTACAATCTAGTTTTTAGAGATTGAGGTATACCTGACGAAAAGATATGTCGTAATTTCCCGAACGCTGCCCAGCCGAGTTGAATCCGTCGATTGACCTCTCGGTCGAAGTTGGACTTACCTAGTCGGACTATTTGTCCCAGGTAAACGTACTCGTCAACAACTTCGAGCATAGTGCTCCCAACAACTACCGGCATAGGTGTGACATGGTTTTTTTCCTTTTTCTTCGTTGGGGGCACTAGGTCATTGAGCATAATGCTTAAGTCCTCCAGCGATTCTGCCATAATGACTATATCGTCGGCAAATCGAAGGTGAGTGATGTACTCGCCATTGATGTTAATACCGTATCCTTTCCAGTCCAGTAGCTTGAAAACGTCTTCCAACGCAGCGGTGAAGAGTTTCGGGGATATAACATCTCCCTGTCTTACACCTCTCTGCAGTTGGATAGGTTTCGAACTCTGGTTCTGTACTCGGATAGCCATCGTAGCCCTACTGTACAAACACTTCAGCACTTCGATGTACCGACAGTCAACTTGGCACCGCTGAAGGGACTGTAGCACCGCCCAAATTTCGACGGAATCAAAGGCTTTCTCATAGTCCACATATGCCAGGCAAAGTGGCAGATTGTACTCTTCGGTCTTCTGTACAATCTGCCGCAGGGTATGTATGTGGTCTATGGTACTGAAGCCTTTTCGGAAACCGGCTTGTTCGAGAGGCTGGAAGTCGTCGAGTCTGCGTGCGAGACGATTCGTAATGACTCTCGAAAATAGCATGTAGACGCGGCTCAGAAGGGAAATCGGTCTGTAGTTCTTCAAGAGAGCGTTGTCGCCTTTCTTAAAGAACAAAACCACCGCGCTTCTGCTCCACGCCTCCGGAGTAGTGCCACCATGGAGGACGGAATTGAAGAGCTTCCGAAGGACTTCAAGTACCGGTTTTCCACCCGCTTTCAGAAGCTCCGCTGTAATTCCATCCTCGCCCGGGGCCTTGCCGTTTTTAAGGTGGTGGAGAGCCATTCTAATCTCGCTCAGACTGACGTCCGGGATATCATCGGAATAGTGTCGGATAAGACTTGCTCTTGGATCGTTACTCACACTTACGTGTGGCTCCAACGATGATGTGTACAGCTGCCCATAGAACCTCTCAATCTCACTCAAAATCTCAGGTGTCCCGGAAACGATGTTGCCACACTCAGTCTTCAGCTTTGACAGTTGGCTCTTTCTGGCAGACAGATCTCTGGCAAAGACTTTGGAGCCCTGGTTCCGCTCGATCGCTTCTTTAATACGAGAAGTATTAAAGTTGCGTAAGTCTCGCCGCATGCATTTGGAGATCTGTTTGTTCAGTTGCCTGTATGCTGTCAAATCTGTTGACGATTGCAGCCTCATCTCCCGTCTAACAGCCATGAGATTAAGAGTGTGATCGGAGAGTTTTTGTGTTCTTCTGCGGCGGGTCTTGCAGAACTTAGCTCCGACCGCATGGACAGTTTCCACGAGCTTGTCGTTCATATCGTCCACTGCATTGCAATCTTCTAGGCACTGGAAGCGGTTACGTAACTCGAAATTTATTTGTGATATTTGATACATATCATTTGCATCAAACAAACAAGAGATGGGCAGCATTATTTTCTCGATAATGTAAAATAATAAATCTGCTTCTGCAATGTAACTGGTTCTGCGTAGATCGGACCGAAAATTAATATTAAAAAACTGAAGGTAGCCGGGCTAACTATGACATTGGGACGTCAAACATCTCAGTCCCCCCCGTGACCACGGGTGCTGTAAAACACCCGAAACATTGGAAATTAAAAATAAGTTAAAATAAGAAAATAAACGCGATAGAATCCGTATATATAGTTTTATTCAATGTGTAGTGTTTGCGTAAATTTAAGAAATCATTACCAAAAACCATATCATGTTTCATAGTTTGATATATCACACTATTATCTTTTTAAGTTATTACACTTTTAAAAGGAAATAAGTAAAAAACTAAAAAATAAACGTTAGAACAAATCGTTTTATATATCTAATTATTTAAACATATGAAAGTAAATTATTGTTTAATATATTAGTAACTGTCCATTTAATGATAGATGGCGCTGTTTTGAAAACTAAAACCTATGCAGCATGGCTCTACCACGCTCTTAAATGAACTTTACGTTTTCAGCAAACACGTGTTTGAAGTTCCCATGGCGTTTTGTGTTTCACAAGAGAGGACCTCTGGTGGTGAATCCTGTCCTACTGATTGCTCTGACCAGAAAGAAAAAGTGGTCTGTGGATCAGACGAGAATATATACAGGAACGAATGTGAAATGAAGATGCTCAATTGTGGGTAAGTTGGAAATGAAAGATAATATTTTTTTGAAGAGGTTATTACCTTTTGTCTTGATTTGTGTTTGTTTTATTTGTGTGGTTTGGTCATGTAGAAAGAATGAATGAGGAAAGACTGACAAAGCAAATATATGTTGCATAAGTGAATGGAAGAGGACGTGATCGGAAAGGGACGTCCTAGGCGAAAGTTTGTCGACCAAATTGGCGATATGTTAAAATGGGCCGAATTAAGAGTACCCTTAACCGACGAGCATGTATGCGTAGGTATATGGATGTGGAAGAGGCGAGAGAGATATATCAGGATCGTGCTAAATGGAAGTCTGTAGTCTCTGCCTACCCCTCTGTGTGACAGGTGTGAGTGTTTATGTATGTATATATGTATGTATGTACGTTATCCCTTACATAGAATCGCTCCAGTATTGTAGAGGCAGTTTATATTCATAAATTGCACAAGAACAAACATTCAGATCCGGACCATTTATTTGTAGACCATACAACATCCGTGAGGTATTCTAATCCTCGGCTACTTGTGCCACGAAGTCATCAAAAGAGTCTTTCATGAAAGTTAAAAGTTAAAGTTCCAGCCTATATAACGTTTACTGCCTTATACAGGTCTCCTTTCATTTCTGAGTCCTTCATCATTTAAAAAAATGATTGGAAAACGTAATAACAGTTAACCTGATAATACGAGGCTGCTGCAGTCCGTAGACACTTGCACCTGACTTCAAACGAAGAAGTAGACAGATGTGTGTGACCTTCGGAAGAGCAGAATACCAGTCAACCTTTTTTATAGAATAAGGGTAACAAACGATCACACAGTCCAGTAAATGGATGCTTTGGCATAGATATCTACATTTATCTTCAATTAAGAATCAAAATGCAGATACGTTGCCAGCCCTGAGGACCGAGATGGAATGCCTTGTTTCCAGTAAAAAGGGTCTCCGGTTCTCTACACTCACCATACGAAACACAGCAGCATTAAGCTACTATTTTACGCTGGTATTCTGTGAGAGCGCGGTCCTACACCAGTAGAGCGGACCCATTCATGCTAACCACAATACTGCTGCAGCATGGCTCGGTGCCACCTGTTATTATACTGACCTTTTTACCCTTCAGAAATTGCTGCTTGGCGGCAGAAGTTTATTAGGAAGAGTGAAGATGTTAAACATTTTTAGCTAAGATACTCGTAATAAAATAAAATGGTGTTCTTACCTCCCTCTCCTCTCCTCTACCTCAATTGCATGCACTATCCCCGTCACTACTCCCAACACCAGTACTCAAGGAAAAACACACCACCGTCGGTAATAAAACACGTGTTTCGCCTTTAAAAGAGGCATTCTCAGGTGAAGACTCTGTGATTGTTAAGTGAACATTCACGTCTTAATTTCATTACCGGGATCATAGCTAATTAAATTTTAACATATTTAATATAATTGACTGCCATAAAGGAACGCCTGATTGTATTAATTATAAGAGGAAGGTGCTAGCCGGGCCTTAGGCTAACATTCTAACTTAATAACGATATTCCATGTCAACGTTTTTTTAAAACAGCTGACTGTTTCAGCGTCAATAACAGGAAGATAGTGAAGAAAGTTGATATGGAGAAATGCAAGACAAAAATGAATAAGTGCCTCAAAGTGAAGTGCCGAAGCGATTACGATCCGGTCTGCGGAACCGACGCTAACGTGTACCCTAACTCTTGCCAGCTTAAAATTGCAACCTGCCTGTGAGTATTCATGTAAATCATAGTAGTAATTACGAGATAGTGTGTGTTATAATAATATCCTCCAAATCAAATTTTAGTTGTGGCGGTAAGTCTCACAAGGGTGTGCGAAAGCATAGGTGCACTCTCTATTCCCTTATTCTCATAGTCCGATGAGGCAGCAATCCGACACTGCGGGAGAAAAATACAGTTGCAGAAACAAAAGCTTTATGAGCTCTCTTAGATAGGTTGAAACACCGACTACTACTAACTGAGAATTTCTTGACAGGAGAATCGGAGACCACTTGATCTGCAATCGAGATTACGCCTATAACACTAACGAGGCAGTCGTAGAGTAGTTTTTCAAAATATTTTTTAAAGGTTACAAACGAGCACACAGTCAACCTGATGGTAATTAGATAGAGTGGCATAGAGACATCTACATTAATCCTCGATTAAGAAAGAATCAAAATACAGATGCGATGTCACTTCTGAAGACTGAGACGAAATGCCCAGTTTCCAGTTAAAAGGGTCTCCGACTCTCTACACTTATTATACGAAGCATAGCAGCATTAATCTGTTATTTTACGCTGATATTCTGTGAGAGCATTGTCCTCCCAGCCCCAACCCTCGTGCCGACTGATTCGAGCTACAACCACAATTATACCCGCAGCGTGGCTCAACCACGTCAAAAAGTTCTGTGAAAACTAGTATCATTCAAATTTGTAATGTTCTCGTAATAAGAAAAAGAGAAAATGAGAGAGGCTTCCATTTCCAGGATGTCTCTTTAAAGGCTGATATTGAAAAATAAGATTAATTCTTATTTGCCACTTAATATTACTGCAGCCGTGTAACATAAGAGATTCTATCGACTTTGTTTCGTGGGTGTCTTGAAAGGCTAGCACTAGGGTATGCCTCCATGTCTCGTGATCTCCGCTAAATAATATAATAATCATTAAATATAAAACTATATAAAAATAAAAATAAAATTTCGTTTATTTCTCAATTAAACTTTTTCATAATAATAATAATAATGTAATAATGTCCTCCAGACAGAATTTCGGTTACGGCGGCCAGCCTCAAAAAGCCATCGGTGCAGGACTTGATTATATTGCCAAAGTATATGCGCAAGCACAGGTGCACTCTCTATTCCCTCACTCTCATAATCCGATGGGACGGTAAACCGACACGATCAGGCGCAGGACCAACGGCTTTCTCAAAACTCAAATACTGATATTTTTTGGCCCGTCCCATGATTCGAATCCGGGACCATATGATCAGCAGTCGCACTACTACAACCAGCAGCCCAACGAGGCAGTCTTTTCATAAATTACTGTTGAAAAAAAACCCCAGAAAGTAACTTAATATACTCGTATCAGGAAATAAGTTCTAAACTATTCGACGGGAAGTATCAGCAGATATTCAAGACATTGGTATCGTTCTAAATACACCCTTGGGGCGGCTCATCTCTAGGAGTGACTATTTCGGGATGATATCCTTTAAAAAATGTAAAATCACGATTTTTAAGCATTTCATTTCTTCATATATTAGAGTTTATAAAAGTCCCCTGTTAGAGAAAAGCATCCCCCGAAGTTTGCGTCATATCAGTATTTTTGCTATAGTTGCCAAGTTTGGCAACCGCAGTTTTTATAATTTTGAGTTATGATCAGGAAAATATTCTGCACATCACCTGCTTTATTCCCTTTGTTTCGTCATACGACATCGTGTAGTGGCGAAGGGTACATTGTCCTATAATAACATCAATTTACTATTACTTAATACGTGGCAGAGCCACGCTGCAGCTATATTATGGTTGTAGCATGAATGGATCGGCTCGAGCGGGGAAGGACCACGCTCTCGCAGAATACCAGCGTATAATAGCAGCTTAATACTGTTGTGTTTCGTATGGTGAGTGTAGAGATAAGGAGACCCTTTTTTTACTGGAAACGAGGCATTCCATCTTAGTCCTCACGGATGACAATGCATCTGCATCCTGATTCGTAATCGAGGATAAATGTAGATGTCTGTGGACCATAGCAACCACTTACCATCAGGTGCACTGTGTGCTCGTTTGTCACCCTTATTTTTCAAAAAAAAATAAATCATACCTTTACAGCCTATCAAGTCCACCGCTGAGCTTAGAGCTTCCCATTAGATTATATATTTGCCAAATCTGTCACGCTTGCCAAGCGAGTACGCATAGAAGTTTTTTTTTGTTGTTATTAGGAAGATGCTGCATACCCATCTCCTGACCCTCTGTCACTATTACGCCCCCCACAGGACGATGTGGAAGGGATGCTATGGGGTAGAGGATATTCTTACACTGCCACTACACGATCCGTAGTGTGTCAACACTTTTCATTATGTTTTTTTTGTATAAGATAAGGGTGACATACGAGTACACAGTCAACCTGATGGTAAGTGGTTACTGTGGCCCATAGACATCAACATTCATCCTGGATTACGAATCAGAATGCAGATGCTTTGTCACCCGTGAGAACTAAGATAGAATACCTTGTTTCCAGTAAAATGGGTTTCCGGTTCTCTACACTCACTATACGAAACACAGCAGCGTTGAGGTGCTATTTTTACGCAGGTATAGTGTGAGAGCGTGGTCCTTCCGCGATGGAGCCGACCCATTCGTGCTACAACTATATTACTAATATAGCTGTAGCATAACTCTAGCACAAACTATGGTACGTCACGTCCTGTGATACAGTTTCGATTATTTAATTTTATTTTAATTTTTCAGCAAAGGAGTACAACTGGCTCATTTCGGTAACTGCTCAATTCTGCCGCGTCTTGAGACTGACTGTCCAGACAACTGTGATAACGTTGTGGAACAACCTGTGTGCGGGTCCGATGGCAACGTCTATAGGTGCGTAAAACTTTTATCCGACTTCAAAAAAAGGAGGAGGTACTCAATTCAACTGTATTTTAATGTATTTTACCTCAGATTTTTTTTTCTAGGTAAATCCATTTTTATGACTATTTATTTTTGCTTCTCATAAGATCTAATATAGACTGATCAAGATTTAACCAGTAGTTGTTGAGTTATCCTTATTAATGCATATTTAATTCACTTCGGAAACATTGATGACGTTCTCATTTTATTTATATCGAAGTCGCTTGTAGAATTTTTTTTAATTTTACCACTATTCAGTATAAAGATTTGAAGTCCTTTTTTTGATTTAATTCTTAACGTGAAAGAGGTTAGACTAAAACTCAGTGGTAACAACGCATCTGCATTTTGATTCTTAATGGAGGACAGATGCAGATATACATGTATATGGGCTACAGCACGTACTGTCTGTGAGGTGGACTGTGTGGTCGTTAGTCACTTTTATTCTATAAAAAAGTTGAGCAGCACGCTTAAAGTAATTGGTGAAGTGAAGTGAAGTATGGGTGACAAATGGGCACGCAGTCACTTGTCTAATGGAGTCACACTGAAGTGAGAATAATAATTGCAGTAGGAATGGGTCGGCTTAAGTGGGGAAAGATCACACCTGCATAGACAAACAGCGTAATATAACAGCATTATGGTTCTGTGTTTCGTGTGACGAGTGACGGGAACCCGTGATTATTTTCATTGCCTAAGAAGTACACCATTTAAGTCATTAAGGGTTATAACGCTACTGAATTTTGGATATTCATAGAGATTTTGTATAGAAGTAATGATGGCTCGTCATTACTTCTACAAAAAGACTGTAATGTGTGCTCTCATTTGTCATCATTGATGACAGATCGGCATACATCCTTACTGATAGTATGTGAGTGTTGTAGCCCATTAGACTAAATCTATCCTCGATTAAGATTTCAAATGCGTTATCATTCTAAGAACTAACAAAATGGTTACTACACTCGGCGTCAAAAAAATCGCATATCCGAAAAAAATAATTTAAATACTATTTTAACACAACAGGCCAATAGCAATGTTGTGGTTTGAGGGTATCATTCGAAAGGTAATTTCATTAGCTTTCAGGAATTTTAATTGAATTTTACTTTTATAACGAGACGAAAGAGAAATTAAAGAAAAAAACAGGGTATGAATATAAATTTGTAATTTGCAAATTAATAGTTTAAAAAAAACTTAATAAATACAAAAAAAGTTCTTAAAACCTAGTATTACCCCCCTTAGTAGTTACTAGTAAAATGGTTTCCGTTTTTCAAAAACTAACCCATTCAGCATTTACAGTTACAGTTACAACCTATCAAAGTCCACTGCTGAACATATGCCTCCCCCATAAATTACCTCATAGGGGGATGTGTGTCATAGTTGGCACGCTTGGCAAGCGGGTTGGCAACGGCAGTTTGTAAATTTAGTCGTTATTAGGAAGACGCTGCAGCCCATATCCTGATTTGTTTCACTCTGTCGCTTCTTACGACACGCAAGGGACGATATGGGCTAGTGGATGTTCTCACACCGCCACTACGCGGTTAGCGACAACATTTACACAGATATTATTTTTAGAACTGAGATTACACGGTTTAAATTAATGGATATGACCTCAAAACTTTAACTATCGATATCCCGAAAACTAAATATTTCCGGCATAAAAGGCAGCTAGATGGTAATCAATGGCATCATTGCCTGTCAACTAAAGCTAAAATGATCACTTAAATCGTGCAACAGATTACTAAAGAAATACCCCTTCCTTTCCTTTTCATCATCGGACAACCAGACGGTTGGCGGATCTACCCTTTATTTTCGATACTGAACACATTAGAACCAAATGATTTCCTTTTCCGTCTGAATAGGCTGCATCACCACTTACCACCAGGTGGGATTGTGGTCAAGCACTGGCTTTTTTTTAAATTTATTATCAAATAAAATTGGTATAAATTTGCTATGCGGCACAGCGAAAACCCACGCAGGTTTGTGTTGTGTGCCGTTCCGTCTACTTTATTATAATACTATTTATTACAAAAATTACACAATTTTTTTGAGTTACATTGCGGGTCTGAATTTTGTTTGAAACTGTTTGTTGTATTCCTAAATTAAAGAATTGTTACTTTAACAATTGATATTGGACTTTATCGTGGATATCGAGTACCTTACAAAATTAAAATATAAAATTAAATTATAATAAGTAACAAAATTAAAGGATTCAATCACATATCAACTACGTTTTCAGATCCGAATGCGAACTCCGCCGTTTGACCTGTGGTCAGCACGTAGTGGCAGTGGCAGCGTCGCACTGCCGCACAACGGCGCTCTGCCACGAGTCGTGTCCCGACACTGCGGCTTTCGTCTGCGGATCTGACAACCGCTTCTACAAGAATGAGTGTATTATGAAGAAGGAGAATTGTGGGTGAGTACCTTCTTTTAAATAAAATAGCTGTGATAGCTCAGAAGCAAGGTCTCCGCCGTAAATTTCATAGAACACCATCAACCCAGGTTCAATTCCCACCGGCACCAATGAGTATGTTATATATATATATATATATTTCACTTGGAAGAGAAGGCCAAATTGGCCTCCAAAAAAGCTTGGCGTGCTCAGCCAAGCGGCGCGGAGGAGGAGCGGGGCAGTATTTCATGCCGGCACACCGCCTGCAACTTTACAAGGCGCAGGTTCGGCCGCACATGGAATACTGTTCCCATCTCTGAGCTGGGGCTCCCCAGCACCAGCTCCTTCCACTTGACCGCATCCAGCGCAGAGCGGCTCGAATCGTCGACGACCGACTGCTTTCCGATCGGCCAAGATGTTGCATCTCTTTGCATTTTCTTTCGCATATACCATGGAGAGTGCTCTGAGGAATTGTTCGGATTAATCCCAGCCGCCAAATTTCGTGAACGCACTACGCGGCAAACGTCCCGATACCATCCACACCATCTGGATGCTTGGCGGTCCACCACTGTACGTTTCAATAGGAGTTTTCTTCCGCGTACAACCTCTCTGTGGAATAGTTTACCACCGGCGATTTTTCCGGATCGATACGACCTAGTGACCATCAAGAAAAGAGCTTACTCACCTGCACGCACCTGCAATTCCCCTGGTGTTGCGGTTGATCATGGGCGGCGGTATTCACTTATCATCAGGTGAGCCGCATGCTCGCTTGCCCCCTCTTCTATAAAAGAAATATAATCTATATCTATTAATCTATATATATATTATATATATATATATATATATATATATATGATATCTCAATAAAAACTACTACAAAAAGTCTTTTGGCATATTCTCCTAGTTAACTTGCGGCATATGTGATACGTGTTAAAATAAAAAGAACATTAAGTTAAATAAGCAAACTAATAAAATAATAAAATAAATTTAAAGACTGATTTGCTAGGTGATCAAAAGTGGCTGAAAACAACAAAAGGAAATCTCTATGGCTGAAAAATAAATTATTTGTAAGACTTGTGAAGTGACGGCTTCGTGGCGTTGTGGCTTAGCAATAAGATGTAGCGGGGCTGAGGGCCGTGGGTTCGATTACCTCACGAAACAAGTATTTGTATGACCTAGAATTGGGTATGAATGTTTGTCCTTGTGAAATTCATGTATAGAAACTACCTCCTCGGTACAGAAGAAAATCCTATATATAAAAAAAAATCATTAACATGTACTAGAACAGCGCGGCAGATTAATTGATCTATAATCCTCTAAGAAATGAAAGAAATTCTGGATGGATGTATAATATGTATAGGCCATACCTTCCTTATTATAAGCGTTCGTTATCGTAGAAGAACGTCATGGCATATAACATTCTTACAAGCAATCGCTCGTGCCAGTCCATATTAGAGCCTTAAAAAAATTAAAAATAATTTCCTTTTCCTATTTCTAAATATTTTATTAGAGAAATATCAAGTTTGCGTCAATTACGTTATTATGTCATAGTTAAAGTTTGCTTATAATGTGGTGGTGGCTTAAATTTCACCCTCTTTCATACTGTGAGTGTTATAAAAGGCGACTGCCAGTATGTCAGTAAAACTTGATGGATTTAGGTAGATAGCGTTATAATGATATCGTTTCCATATAAAGACGTAAAATATCAGCGGTGGGCAGAAGTGTCAAAGGTGCGAAACGTCGTGTAAGTAAAAGAAATTAGTGAAATCGTCAATACGCCTACGAACCGCGACGGTTAAACCAAATGATCCCTTCAATTGAAGAGAAACATGACCATAAACCATAAGTGAAATTTTAAGGGCTCATGAAGAAGGAAAATAGAAGTAATTAACGTAAAATAGACGATGAAAAAAAATTAAATTAGCATGAGTATCAAGTCTTTTACTTACAACAGTACCTATTCATGTGATCGGAATTCCCACGGCACCCGCTGGCCGCCAGCCAGTGGGTACAAAGGTCACTTTTCCTTTACTGTTTATGAACACATGAACACCAGGTACACGGCAAATTTATTCTGATGATGAGTTAATATATTTTTCTATAGAATAAGATTGATTAATTAGCATACAGTATACCTGATGGTCAGTAGATTCTATGGCCCAAAGACACATGCATCTATCTTTGAATAAAAATCGAAATGTAGATACGTTGTCCTTTAACGATTAAGATAGTATACCTCGTTACCCGTCAAAAGATGGGCGCACTCGAAAAGTTGGGCGCATCTGCACTCGACGCGCAAGCTTCATCGTTTTGCCTAAGACTCGAACAAAGTGCGGCCAGACCACAATTACATGCGAAGGTGCGCGCCTGTTTAATAAGATACCCTCGGAAATAAGAAATGTAGACTCGTTCAATGTATTTAAAAAAGCGACTAGCAAATCATATAATCACAAACATATCTATCTGAGTGCGTTGGACTGGTTTGTTCCTGGTCTTAGTATTGAGGTGATAGTGAATACAAGAATTTAACTTTTCTTTTATTTGTATAGATTTTTCCCGTTGATAGCTGTTTTTGATGTTGTTTATTTTTCAACAACATAGGTATAACAACGAATTTAGTTATTTAGATTTACATAATGATTTCTTAAATTTACGCGAACACTACATATTGAATAAAACTATTATTTACGGATTTTATCGCGTTTAATTACTTTAATTTATTTTTATTATTATCCCGACGTTTCGGGTGCTTTACAGCACCCATGGTCACGGGGGGGACTGAGATGTTTGACGTCCCAATGTCATAGTTAGCCCGGCTACCTTCAGTTTTTGAATATTAATTTTTGGTCCGATTAAAAAAATTGGAATTTGAAAAAAATTGGATAAAATCCGTAAATAATAGTTTTATTCAATATTTAGATTTACTTTTATTTATGTTCTCATGTAAGGGGCGTATAAAAAGTCTTTATGAGAATAAATGTATTTAAACCTGAAGGTTTTCCGACTCTACCCTTACCATACGAATCAAAAAATCACTAAACTACTATTTTACGCTGGTGTTTTGTGAGAATGTGATCCTTCCGTGTTGCAGTGTGGGTGTACCATTTTTTTTAAAGAATATTAACAATGCTATAAACATTACTAATATACCACTTAACCACTCGTAGTAAGCTTAAATTGCTTGTGTTACGAGTGGTTCACGCCAGTAGTCGAACGGCGGATTCGAACCCACGACCTTTTTTAAGTTCGCGGTCCGCGCCCTGCCATTAGGCTACTGTCGCTTTTTTAATGTTTTTTGTTTCTTGAAATGTTTTGTTACAGTAAACACGTGTACGTGGTGCCGTTGAAGAGATGCCTCTCTCGCTTCCAATACTCCGGCTGCGCTCGTGTCTGCCCGGCTGAATACGACCCAGTTTGTGGCACTGATGACAAGACTTACTCGAATAAATGCTTCCTCGAGATGGAGAATTGTCGATCAAGGTAATGTTAATGATAACATCACTCGGATTAGGCGTTACTGATCGTAAGGTCGACACTTGCACGAAATTATTGTGTGTATGGCATATTTACAATTTTTTCAGGATCTGGATTTTAACTTGTGTGCAAAATGCACACATGTATGAAAAACGCCCTCATGACAGAAACATTCCCTCGTTTGAAAGCTTGCTTAAAGTAAGCAGATCATACCTTTTAATGTCAATCAAAGGTCCACTACATACTGAACATAACCTTTTCCCATAGACTACCTCATATGGATAAAATTCGCCACATTTGCCGCGCTTGGCGAGCGAATTCGCACCCGCAGTTTTTTATATTTGGTCGTTATTAGGATGTCACTGCTGCCCATCTCCAACTATTACCACACCAAAGAATTTTCACCAAAAAAAACAATATTTAACACATTTTATCAATTTTAAAACGCAATATCAAACTTTGAATAAAACTATTATTTACGGATTTTATCCCATTTAATTACTATTTTAATTTATTTTTATTATCCCGACGTTTCGTAAATAAATTAAAGTAGTAATTAAACGCGATAAAATCCGTAAATAATAGTTTTATTCAATGTGTAGTGTTCGCGTAAATTTAAGAAATCATTAAAATCAAACTTGTTACAGGAGCTTGGTGCAGATGAAGTACCTCGGCACCTGCACGGAACCCATCGCTGAAGAGCCGAAGAACTACCTCTATCGATAAGTATCGATGGAAGTCACACGTAGATAAACAGTTACATCAGTCATATATAAATATATTGCTTGCATTGCATATCGATGTCTAGGGACTGCTGTTCCAATTTAAATTTAGTGCCAACTATCTAAATAGGTCAAATTATCTAATTAGTACACAATCTTGCGTTGGAATCTCTGTTTTCCTTCACTTGACTGTAAATCGCGATCCCTTGTAAAGGAGTACACAACTGCGAATCAAAATGGCGTCATTGAAATAGATCGTAGTGTGTAGTAAATGTAACTAACGACAAGTAAAAGAATAGATGGTGATAGTTAAATTTTAACCGAAATCTTTAAGCCGAGCAACCGTGATATTTTGTCTTCTGGTAGAGCTGCAACCATCCGGGAAGAAACATAGTGGGACTACGTATCGTGTTTGCTTGGCTTTTTGAAATAAGAAATAAGTGATTTAGAATTTAAAGGAGTGTAAGTTTCGACTGTTTTATTTATTGCTCTATTTATTTCGTAAACGTAGTTAAGTGAAAATGTAAATAATTACTAGATTTTTCTTCTTTATTAATTTCCACTATTCCTTTTGAAAATAATATGATCGATAAAATTTAAGGCTTCAAGAAAGCTATGGTGGAAATTACTGATCAACAATCATTGTCATTTATATGACAATTTAAAAATGCCAGATTTTTCTAAAAAATTCTTCTTTTAAAAGTTAAACAATATAACTGTAGAATTTAAGCAATCACTCGGACATATATTTGGAATATAGAGATAGAATAAAAGGAAAATGTTTGTATATATTCCACAAAGTTTTTCCTTCATTTTGAATTGCATTTAAATATTACGTATTACATAATATATCAGATAATAAGCTATTGTAATAACATAATAAAATGTTACACCTACGTTATAATCATTCTTTGTATACTGTGAAAAGTTTTGATAATAAGCTAATAAAATAATAATTTATATATATTTTTATTTTATTGTTCAGTAGCTAAATAGTTTCCCTCACAAAGTGCTTAAGTTCCTCTTTCTAAGCTCTATAGTTATTAAATATGCAGGACATCTATAGTAATACTAATGTTACGGTACCGAGCAAACATACAGCTACCTATAATCTACGTAAGAACGTAGTTGCGCTCAGATCCAGTTTATAGAAGTAATGCTAAAAAGTAATATCACAGTCCAACTGTTGTTAGATTGATATAAATATAATAATGTCCTCCAAAACGAATTTCGGTCACGGCGGCCTGCCTCAACGGAGTATGCGCAAACACAGGTGCACTCTCTATTCCCTCACTCTCATAATCCGATGGGACGGTGAACCGACACGACCGGAAAGAGATCAGGCGCAGGACCAACGGCTTTACATGCTTTCTGAGGCACGGGGTGATACACCGCCAACTTCCTGACTCCGGGTAACTACTGAGAATTTCTTGACGGAAAAACTCAATAATTACCCTTAGTTCAGACACGGCGGATACCGCGCGGACGCAAACCGCGCGGGTCAACCGCGCGGATCTTATTATAATGGCATAGTACTAGAACGTTCATACTACACCGCGCGGACCATGCAACCGCGCGGTAGCCGCAACTCGACCGCAAGAAAATGAATTCGCGCGTTCGCCGCGCGGACGTAATTCTATGACAATCCCTGGGCGTGTTCAGTTGCTCCGTGGAATCCGCGCGTATCGCACGTATGACAATGGAGCGCTTTGACACCGAACTATTCATTGACGAAGTTGAAAAAAGACCAGCAATATGGGACATCCAGTGTGAAGATTATTCTAATAAAATTGCCAAAAATAAGGCTTGGCAGGACCTGGTAGAGATTTTTGGTATAAACGAGGATTCATTGGAAAAGAAAAAACTTTTTGGTTAGTAGGTACTTTATTTAAACATTTCTCCTAGTAGTTACTTTACATTGTTTGTGATTGTGTTTACATAATATAGATACCTACCAATGTAATATACATATTTATAAGTTTATATTTTAGTATCTTGCCATTCTACACGACCCTCATTCACAAAGTAATTAGCATATCTATCTCTAATGTTCAAAGATGAAGGTGTACCTCTTCCTGCATGTAATTTATTAAGACTACTCATTGGCGCAGTGTACAAAGTGTCTTTATACCGTACACCATCTCTTGTCCTAACAAAATTGTGTAACACGCAACATGCCTTTATTATGTCTTCGGCAAAGTCTATGTTAACGTTTATAGGCCTATGAAAAATACGCCACTTGTTTGCTAAAATACCAAAGCTGCATTCAATATTACGTCGAGCCCTAGATAACCTATAGTTAAAAATCCTTTTTTTCGTATGATAACCCTTTACCCGCATAGGGTCGCATTAAGTTTTCCGATAAACCAAACGCTTCATCGCCAACTATAACGTATGGTAATGGTAAAGGATCTGCGTTAGATATTGGTTTAGGTTTTGGTATGTGTAATGATTTTTCTATTAATCTTTTATAAAATATTGAATTTTTAAATATTGCAGAATCACTACTTTTTCCATATGATCCAATGTCAACAAAAGTAAAACAGTAATTAGCGTCACAAAGTGCCAAAAGTACTATAGAAAAATAGTTTTTATAATTATAATATAAAGATCCAGAATCATCAGGCATTATAACCCTTATATGTTTGCCATCTATGGCGCCTATGCAATTGGGGAAATTTGCATATCTTTCAAAATCTATAGCTATTCTCTCCCACACATCTTCACTCGGTTCGGGCATGACTTTTTTTGCGAGTATTTTCCACAAAGCTTTACATACTTCACGGACAATTCCTGTGGTTGTAGATTTGCCAAGACGAAAGTTGTAACGAAGTTCTCCAAAGGAACAACCAATAGCCAGATATCTGAAACAAAAAAAAATACCAGCACATATTATGAAAACCTTAACATTTTTCTTAACGATAAATTTCTCATTCAGGTGTAACATTGCAAAAAAAATGGAAGAACATACGTGATGCCTACAACAAGGAATTCAAAAAAGGCAAGTCAGCTCCTTCTGGTTCAGGTGCATGTAAAGGTTCAAAATACATGTATTTTGACCGGCTTTCCTTTCTTCAAAAGACGGTAGAAAATAAAGAAACAACTAGTAACATAGAAGAAGCGAAAAATGAGCATAATGAAGACAGTGACAAAGACCAAAATAATTTTGTGAATGCACGTGAAATACGCTCCCCCTCCCCCCAAAAAAAAGAAAAAAAAGTAAAAGTGCACCAGAAGATCGATTGGCTAACATATTAGAGGAGAGCATTCAGTCACGAGATAAATTACAAAGAGAATTACAAGAAAATATTTCTAACCAAGATGATGATAAGCTTTTTTGTTTATCTTTGTACAAAGAATTAAAAAAAAGTTCCAGAAAACAAGCGTTTGGCTACTAAAATTGAATTACTTCAAGTAATAGAGAAGGGACAGAAATTACCATTGCCATTTCGCATTACAACAAACCAGCAAAACATGCATAATACAGCATATTTAAATAGCCAACCATATTCAAATCCACAAGGATATTTTACTGGATACTCTACAATTGTACCAGCGGGATCTCCATCGCCTTCATCATACACTACTGATGACTCACAGTCTTCTATTGTAGAAAATATATATTCTGATATTATGTGAAAATAAATACCCAATATATATTCTAATATAACATAAATATAAATATATATTCTTATATTACATAAATATATATTCTGATAATTATTAAATAAAAATAAATACCTTACCTTAAAGTGATCACGAGTTTTTCTTCTGGTGATACGCTTGACCTCATATGGGTATTAGAAGATGTAATTTGTTCACTGATTATTTCCAATAATTCGTCAAATGACTTTATTGACATTCTTAAATAGTTAAAAAATTCGGAATCATAATTCCTTAACTTTGCATATAAAGACACAAACTGACCATGAGTGAACCGATCTTGTAAAATTGGATGCACCCAATACTGCCGTTTCCTTTTTTTTTTGTGGAGTAGGAGTAAGTACACTCATATTGCCTCTTCAACTTCCATGATTGAACTGAAAGGCTGTCACCCTACCTCGCAGTTCTCGCACCGCACAATAACCGCGCTTGTCTGAACACTTCACTATTCTCGCGGATCGGACCCGCGCGGTTTGCGTCCGCACGGTTTCCGCCGAGTCTGAACGTGCTCTTAATTTTTTGGCCCGACCCGGGATTCGAACCCAGGATCTCATGATCAGCAGTCGCACTACTACAACCACTAGACCAACGAGGCAGTCATATATATACATATGATATGATATGTATATGCTCTATTAGAAAATACAGCCCTCTACTTAGTTGTCATCATCGAGGACTAAGTTGGAATGCCCTCAAATTCTAGTAGTCATTTTCTAACGACGTTTCGTTTGACCGCTGCATATAGCGGTGTCGCTAGGGGAAGCATTCCGCGACGGCAGTACTAAAACAACATTTAATGTCATGTTATTTTCTTTGTTTGCTACTGTAAGTGAACTTCACGTTTATGTGCAATCGTTGCAAGATGCATAAATGAAGGTTCCACATTCTCGTTCACTGTGCTTGTTCCAGGAGTCTCATAAATCTCCATTACTTCCTCGAAGATTTTTTTTATAGGATAAGATGACAAACGAGCACACAATCCACCTGATGGCAAGTGGTTTATGTGGCCCATAGACACCTACATCTATCCTCGATTACGAATCAAAATGTAGATGCGTTGTCACCCCTGAGGATTTAGATGGGATGCCTCGTTTCCAGTAAAAAGGGTCTTCGGTTCTCTACACTCACCATACGAAACACAGCATCATTAAGCTACTATTTGACGCTGGTATTCTGTGAGAGCGTGGTCCTTCCCCGGTAGAGCCGACCCATGTGCTAGACCTATATTAGATGGGAAAATTAACATGTGTACATTGAAGTTTGTGTCATAAGCTTTGAAACAATTAAAGCTCTACGTACGCATTTACATACTAATGCTAATATTCATTCATTAATTTATTA